ATATTTTCTTCATATAAGTTTTATCTTGTCACTATTTCTGTGTAATTTAGTTTTGTTGGTATAGTCAGGCAGGAGACTTTCCCCACTGTATGGGGATGTTGCTCTTGTATGTGGTCCTCGTATTAAACTGTTTCTAAGGGCTTTATCCTCCTTGCTATCCGCTCCCATCACTAGAACATCAACAAAGAAGTCCCCAGCACTCGGCGGTCAGTTTGCCGTGCTTTCGGAAGCCCCACCACCTGCACTGAAAGCAGCGGCGGGCGCGGCGGGCTGGGGCAGAGCCTTCTAGACTAAGGACAGACCAGGAAGAGAACGGACTGCCCGCTTTATGAGGAGCAGCGGGGCACTGTCAGATGGTACGTCGAAGACGAGCCCTTCAGATGGGCAAGCATGCAAAGCCCGCCCGGGAAAGAGCTAGCGACCTTTATGACCTTTATGACAGGCTAAAGCTTCCAGGACCCCCACTATGGAAAGGACACGATTCAAAGTGAAATAGCGGCAAACACTCACAATCAGAACACGAAGAGCATGGACTGTGAGTCTAGGAAACGGAAGATGTCAAAAATGAAATGGACTGCTAACGATCAATGTTCTATATTTTAGTGAGCTGAGACTGAGTCAAACAATCAGATGGCCAAGAGGAATAGTGTTGAATTCATCAAACGATAATACATCAACAGCTACCTCAAAGCATAATGTTGTCGGTGAAACGATAATGCCTGTGAGCCTGCAAAGAGCTCCAGGTAATAAAACTAGGATTCCAACTTACAGACCAATCACTAAAGCTAGTGATAAAGAAATTGTGGAATTCTAAAAACTAATTCTGTCTGAAATGATTAAACATGCAATCAAGATGCACTGGAAACTACTAGTGATATAAATGCAGACATTTATAAACAAAAAAGATCAGTCGTTGGGAAACTTGATCTTGGTGACAGAAATAAGGGGTGTAGATTGCAAGACAGAATTTCACAAGACCACAAAATCCATTGCAAATACCTTTACAATGGCTTAAAACGGTGACTACACTCATGGGCTTCACCAGATGGAATTGGGGCAAGAAAGACGCTGGCTGGAGCAGCTTCGTATCATATGGGAAAACAAGGCAGGGGCCAACCATGCTCACATGTAAGTTAGGCTGAACTTCTGATGCACTGAATATCAATGATGTCAGAACATCGGCACACACAAAGAAAGCAGAAGCTTGAACTTGTGTTTTTACCTCCTTTCGTGTGATGAATTAATATTCATTGATTGACAGCGTGAGTAAGACTACCTGTGACTTTGGCGTCACCCTGACCTTGGTGGGGCCCCAGCTCTGCCACTTTTATTAGCTTTGTGGTCATCGGCCCAAGTTGCTTGATCACCCTGAGCCTCCGTTTCCCCACCCTATAAATCATACTTATGAGATAATGCTTGAGTGATGATGATTATTAGCTGTTTTCAGAAGCCCTGGTGGCAAAGTGGTTACGCGCTGGACTGCGTAACCTTAAGGTCAGCAATTCGAAACCACCAGCCGATCCAAGGGATTAAGATGAAGCTTCTACCCCCATAAAGGGCTAGAGTCTGAGACACCCACAGGCGCAGCCAGTCCGGCCCTGCCCTATAAGGGCACTGTGAGTCAGCATCGACTCAATGGCGGTGCGTGGGTTGTAAAAGAGTTACGAGACTTGTGACCGGTGCCACTGAGTTTGCTACAACAGACACCGCCATCCTCGCTTTCAACACAGCGCCACCAAGGGGCCAGCGGACCCAGTGACCACTGACGTTAACCCACACCTCGACTGTGCCCGACTTTCACTGTGGCGCCCGTCTCAGGTAAGGGCTGGAAAAGATGGCAAGTGGGCTCATAGAAATCAACAGGCTGTTTTGTGCTTTTTCAAGTGTTTAAAAAGTCTCATTTCCTGAGAAATTTATAATGTAAGGAGTGAAAAAGCTAACAGTCCGTCGTTTTCCTTTCTGGATGGGACCGAGTTCTGTTTGCCAGCACTGAGGGCTGGGGAACTGGCCCCTGCACGGCTGACTACAAGTAGGTGCAGAAGCAGCGTCAGAGGAAGGCAGCAGGGGCGTCTTACCTGCCGAGGTGCTCCGAGTGCGGACTGACCAGGTACATCAGGTTCCTGAGGGTGTGCAGTGGTTGTAACTGATCTAAATTGACATGCTACGAAACAAGGAACTCATTAATATTTCCAAACACCTGACAAATCAAAGCCACGCTCACAGCACGCTTTCCATACCTGAGAGAAGCAAAGGTAAAGGGTATTTGCATTCAATTTCTTCACTGCTCGAGTAAACTTCTGCCTGCTGAGGTTTTCCCCACAAAATTCACTGTAAAACAAATAGACAAACAATTTGTAAAGTTGTGCTTCCTGGAAGAAATGTTCACGTGTCCATTCTGAAGTGAGTGCGCATGCCCCTAGCGGCCGGCCCCTTTGCTCTGTCAAGTGCACACAGAGACCCAGCCCGGAAGGACCACCCTCGTGGAGGGCAGCCCCACTGCAGGACAGAAGCTCCAGCGGCAGAGGCCCTTTGACCACACAACTTCCCTCGGGGC